AGTCCAGCACGGTCTACACAGTGAGTTCCAGGCCAGCCAAGGCTATAGAAAGATATCTTGTCTCACTACCCACCCCTCACACCAAAAAGAGCAAGAAAGCACAAGAGTACAGACTTGTCACAAAGGGAGAAATTCCCATGATGGACATATGAACATATGCTCAGCCTAAACAGTGGTCAGATCAATTTGGTCTAAAACAAATCTCTAACAACATTAAATTCCCATGATGGACATATGAACATATGCTCAGCCTAAACAGTGGTCAGATCAATTCAGTCTAGAACAAATCTCTAACAACATTAAATTCCCATGATGAACATATGAACATATGCTCAGCCTAAACAGTGGTCAGATCAATTCGGTCTAAAACAAATCTCTAACGACATTAAATCAAATAATAAATCTGCCACCAAGAGATGACAGAAGTATAAACAAGCTTGATTAATTTAGAGAGAAATGGGGCAATACCTAGAAAAAATGAAAATGTATGTAGACTAGCTGATCGCACACCAGGAATTGTGGGCACCAGAGCAGAAGAAAATGAAGGAAGTTTATACATGAGAATCATAGCAGACAAACCTGGGGAAAGTCAAGGTTTGTCAACAAGCATTTATCCATTCCAGATAGAAGTATTTCATACAGTAAAATGTTGTATGGTGGCCAAAAGTAGTGAATCAGCTTTACATAGATGAAAACCTAGGCCTTGCGGCTTCAGGTGTGCTCAACGGTTAAGAGCACTTCTTATTTTTCCAGGGAACCCGCATTCGGTTCCCAGCATCCACATGGGGCAGGTCTCAACCTTCTGAAGTTCCAGCTCCAGAGGACCTTCTGGCCTCCTCGTGCATCCATACACACATGGAATACACATACACACACACACACACACACACACACACACACACACAAAGAATTAAAAACATATAAGTTTTATAAATTTTGAGTGAAAAAGAAATTGAAAAGCAATATATGCAGGGTTGGAGATATAAGATCCAACACCCTCATACAGACATATATGCAGGCAAAACACCAATGCACATTTAAAATTATATATATAATATATATTTATCAAATGTTTTACTTATGAATACATGAATGCAAATGTATAAAAGAATGGGTTAAGTAATTGCACACCATATCCCTAAGATGTTTCCAAGAAATTCAGGTCAGGGATGGAAAAGATGGCTCAACAGTTAAAAACCACTTGCTTTTCCTGCATAAAAACCAAGTTCAACTCCCACTAATCAATGGGGCTGATACCTGCCTGTAATTTAAGTTCCAGAGAATCCAACATCTTTTTCTATCCTCCCTGGTCACTGCATATACAAGTGAACAGACACACAGGCAGATAAAACACTCATTAACATAAAATTAAAATAAATCTGTCTATTTTTAATTCAGGGTGTTGGAGAGATGTCTCTGTTGTAGTAAGAGTGGCGGGGCTACGTCCGTGGCACCCGGCTGCCCACACGGCTAGCTTTACCCGAAATAATTACATGGAAACTGTATTCTTTTAAACACCGCTTGGCCCATTAGTTCCAGCCTTTTCTCGGCTAACTCTCGCACCTGGACTAGCCCATTTCTAATAATCTGCTGTAGCCCACGAGCTGGCTTACCAGGAATGATCTTAACCTGCGTCTGCCTGGAGTGGGAGAATCATGGCGACTCCCTGACTCAGCTTCTTTCTCCCAGCATTCTTTTCTGTTTACTCCTCCCACCTATGTTTTAACCTATGAGGGCCAAGCAGTTTCTTTATTGCTTAACCAATGAAATCAACAGATTGATATATGACACTCCCACATCACTTCCGCTTTTTCTGTTTAAACAAAAAAAGGAAGGCTTTAACTTTAACATAGCAAAATTACATATAGCAAAACAGCTATCAAGCAAGAATTACAGTTACAATATTTTTATCTTTTATCATAACTAAGGAAAACTATAACTATCTATTCATTCTTCAATTCCATCAAAGACTCCAGAAGGATATAATACTACCCAAGTAAACAAGAAATAAGAAAACTCTAGAAATGACAGAGACATCTCGCTGCCTGGACAGTCACCCAAAGTTCTTTTGTACCGTTGGGGCATCCATCTTCAGTCTTCAGGCCCATAGTATCCAGCAGACATTTCGATGAAGCAGGAAATTTCAAAGACAGCTCAGTCACTTTCTGCTGTATCCTGAACAATGTCTCGCAGACTCTTTCATGAGTCATGAACCCCGAAAGACCATCTCACCTTTAGGCAAGTTCAGCAGTCCTCTCTCTGCGGGTTCTTTGTGTCCAGTTTATGCAACAGTCCAGGCAAGAGCAGTTTCTTGCCCAAATGGCTATCAAACTCCATAAGGATCCTCTTCGATGCCCATCTTCCCCTTGAAGTAGATTGGTGCCGCCAGGAGCAGACATGTCTCATTGTCATGAAAAGTCCTAAGTTATTAAAATATTTTAAATGCCATATTCTGCAGTCTTTGAAAGATATGAAGAATGTCTATCTAACTGAAATACATCTCTATATATCTAGAAAATCTAACTAACATGACTACAAGCTTGACTATTATTGATGATTATCCATTAACAACCTATATTTTCTAATTATACATTATACTTTTAAAATGAACTACACAATCACAATACCTTAATCAAGAGCAGAAATACATATACATATACATATAACAAAATTGACCTTAAAATCCACACAAATGCAGATTATTCATACCTATATCATTTCCCCCTTTAAATGTAAAAGAACATTTATAAACAATATTTTGGGAACATGGGCGCAGTTTTTTCTCTCCAAACTGCTTCCTGCTGAATGGGGGCGCTGTTAATCAGATCATTTAGGGTGTAACCTGTGTGCCAGGTTTATCTCAGTTGGCAGTTGAGTGAAGTCATTTTTTGAGGGTGTTCACAGGAACTTTTCGGGAGGTCGTGGTCTATCATACCATATCAGGATAGATGCAATCCAAAGGGTCTGGTCCTCTGTGAAAACAAAAGAAGACCCTCTCCAAAGCATCATATCCTTAGACCCAAATTTTGAAATCGTAATACCCTTATATCCATTCTGGTTTAGCTTGGTAGCCCATGTAATTAAATGTCTCTCTGTACTTAGCTCCTTTTACAGTCAAAAATTTTAAAAAAAAACACAATAATACAAAGAATCCAGACTCTCTGTGAATTTTCCATTTTTACGTGGCTTATTTTTCTTTATTTCTTTTAATCTACAACTATCTGTACTCTGTCTCTTTAAAGACTTTACCCTTTGTTTTTAACCATTAACTTTATTCTCTATATTCTTTTCTTCTCTCTCTCAAGCCTACGTACACTCATCCAACACTGTGGTCTTTTTTGTCTGAATCTGTTCTATTGTGAATCTGTAACATTTTTTTTACTATCCAGGAGCATTTCTTAAAATGTTAAGCAGTTCTTAAAAACAAGGGGAGCTGGTTTGGGGTGAGTTCTAGCAAATGTTCCAGAGAACGTCCAATATGTACCTACTAGAACTGCATAATCCAGAAGAAATCAGAGCTGGGTTACTGGCATTTCAGCCCTAACAGTCTTAAAAGAAAATTACACCACCATACTTGAAAAAACTTATGAGTGATGCGTTAGTTCGGGTTTCTATTGCTGTGAATAATAGATCAAAAAGCAAGCTGGGGAGGAAAGGGTTTATTTCCCTTTCACTTCCACATTGCTCTTCATTAAAGGAAGCCAGGGCAGAAACTCAAAAAGGGCAGGAGGCTGGAGGCAGGACCTGATGAAGGGGACATGGAGGGGAGCAGCTTACTTCCTTCCTTCCCAGGACTTGCTCAGTCTGCTTTCCTGTAGATCCCAGGACTACCAGCCCAGGGATGGCACCACCCTCCCCCATCAATCACTAACTGATAAAATGCCTTACAGCTGGATGTCCTGGATGCATTTCCTCAAGGGAGGCTCCTTCCTCTCTGATGACTCTAGCTTGTGTCGAGTAGACAGAAAACCAGTCAGTGCAAGTGACAATCGACTCAATATTAGGATGGCAATTTCTGTAATAAGTACATTAAAATATCAATAAATATAATTCAAAATATTCAATGTTTTTATTAATGTCTATCTATGTGTTTATGTGCATGTGGGCGCAGGTGCTGGCAGAGGACAGAAGATACTGAATGTCCCGGAGCTGGAGTTACAAGTGGTTGTGAGCCACCTGATGAGGGTACTGGGAACCAGACTCCGATCCTCTGGAAGAGCAAGCACCTCACACTCTGAATTGCGGAACTGCCTCTCCAGGCCCCACCATTGTTTTAAAGATTCATTATTATTTCATGCATGAGTGTTCTGCCTGCATGAATGTATAAACACAGTAGTTCTGCGCCACTGCCATCGAGGCAGGAAGCGCAGTCATCCTCTGGAACTGGAGTTTGAGGCAGTCGTGCACCAACGGTACAGAACTGGGGTGTAGGAAAACAAACTTGGGCCTTCTGCAAGTGCAGTACACCCACTGACTTCTCCAGCCCTCCAACTACAGCTTTTGTTTTTATTTTCAAAGCAGCCTTCCAAACTAATTTAATGAAAATGGCCAAAATAAATTTTATACATGTATGAAATAATCAAATAAGAAATAAATTTTAAAAAATCACAGTCTAATCTGGGCAAAGTGTCACAAGCCTTTAGTCCCAGCACTCGGGAGACCGGCAAGAGGATCACGGAGTTCCAGGTCAGCAGGGGCTAGTGAGACTGCACAACAAAATGAAGCAAATAAAAGTAATCATAATCATAATCAAAATGTACCGTTCAGCTGTTTAAAAACAGTAAAATTTAGTAATCACTATTTTTGCAAATCCTTACAATTTAAAAATGGAAAAACATTTCCAAATGTCATTAAAGCAAGTCGCCTTAGTAAAAAGTAACAGATGCTCAACATTAGGATAGTTGAAAAAGTACACACAAAATGTCCAAATATGAAAACTGATGTTAGGGGGTGCAAAATATATAACTATTTATCAGTTCCAAGACAGCCCAGCAGCCTGTTCGACTGCACATAAAACACAGGCGCTTCGCCCCAAACTCCCTTCCACCCCGTATCAGACCAAGGCGCATGCGCAGCCTGACGCATGCGCACTCTAAACGCAGGCCGGCAAGACGCGGATGAGAAAGATGGCGGCGCCGAGCCTGCCCACGCCGCTGTATGGGCACGTGGGTCGCGGAGCCTTCAGCGACGTGTACGAGCCTTCGGAGGACACGTTCCTGCTGCTGGACGCGCTCGAGGCGGCGGCGGCCGAGCTAGCAGGGTGCGAGGAGGGTGCGCGCCGCAGCGGGAAATTGGGGTGTCCCAGGGACGGTAGCCGGAAGTCTTGCCTCCTCCGGAAGTGGTGGGTCGGCCCACTGCCTGGTGATTGACAGCAGAGCGGGGTGAAAGAGCAGCTTCCGGCGTGCCGGGGTTTGTGCTCTGCAAAACCCTATGGTCACCCTGCCTTGCTTGCCTTTCGGCTATTATCTGAAGAACGCAAGTGCCCCTGAGTGCAGTCGTAGTGTCACAGCCAGAAACAAGGTGTTCCCGAAACATTGCTGCTTTCCAATATGAAGTTTCTTAGTGTAAAACTCGCGCAGGGTTCACCTGCTACTTAGTGCATAAATAGCATCCTCTGGCAACGGAAGGACACGAATGGTGAACTGTTAAACCCACTCAGCTCTCTCAAGGAATAGCTATTAGCCATGTGTTACTACTGAGCACTTCAAACGTTCCTGCAGCTGGGAAACCGAATTTTCAGTTGCAGTGTTAGAAATGTAGTTAGTACCATTAGGGAAGATATAATAGTTAGCATGCATCCGCTTACTGCAGGATCTTCACTAGTCTGATTCGTTGAGTATGGTCATAACTTTTAATGACAACAGCTGTAAAGGCTACATGTTAATTTTTCGGTTAAGAGAATTTGAGTCAAGAGCGGGTAAGATGGTTAAGCTAGTAAATGCGCTTGCTGCCAAGCCTGTGGACTCAGGGTCAGTCCTCAGAACCCATATGGCAGGAGGAGACAAATGCTCCTACAGGTTGTTCTTGGACGTTCAGTTGCGGTGCTGAGGACTGCTTGCCCACACATCACACACAAAATAAGTCTAATAAAACATTTTGCTGAAAGAATTAGGGTCATTAACTTAATGGGCAAGATTTTTGAACTGGGGATCGCCAGAACGAAATAACCAGCACGCTTACCCCTCTTAAGCTTTGTCATTTTTTTTTTCGTCTATAAAATGCTTTTGAAATCAGCCTTTCATCATAGACGGTGGAGAATTTCTAGTTACTGGAATATCTTATGGAACACTGGCTCAGAACTCATATGCTCAGAATAGCCCAGAAAGATTTACAACTACAAATTGCATTGCAGACTATGCTGTAAATGGGGCTGACCTTGTTACAAAGACTTGAAATTCTAATTATGAGACTGTAATGGTTTTTTTTTTCCAAGAAGTAACCACCTGGAAAGATTCACAAACTTTAGAGTGACAAACGGCTTCTCAGATATGTGGCTGGTTCTAAAGCTAAAAATCCTGTAACTGCCTCTTGACTATTGTTTGAAAAGTTAAGCGCAAGGAATTCCCATGAATGTCTTTAGGCATTGTAAAAATTAAGTGGCGCTTTTGAAACATGTACACTCATCGAGGGAATAATTTCACTGGGAGATAATATGGAGACTTTTAAATTGAGAAAGCTAAGATTATTAGCATTTTGAGGCCATGCTGTGAGGTACTTGCCCAGGTTAGTAGAGAATGTCTGTTCTACATCTATCTAGGTAGGTAGAGGACTTTCATTCCGAGGACATGCTGCTTGGTGTATTTAAGTACTTCAAGGTAATTGACAGTCTGTTACACACCTAAACTATTACCAGGTGTAGCTATGCAACAATATGTAAGTGATTGCCAGAAATTGTAAATTTCTCTTATTTTCCCATATATTTGCAAGCGAATGATGATGCTGGAGAAATACATTATATTGCATGAGAGTCATCTTCCGTGGAGAGTAGGCTCATGGGAATGAACTAAGTATTCTGGTTTTATTGTTAGAGTGGAAATATGCCTTGAAGTCGGAGCAGGGTCTGGTGTGGTGTCTGCGTTCCTGGCCTCCATGATAGGTCCTCAGGCCTTGTACATGTGAGTATACAATGTTCATCCCACCTCCTGGGTTACTGTGACTGTGGCAGCTTGGGTGAAATATTTTAAGTAGACAAAATGTCTCTGGTGGTGTTTCAGTAAGGCCTCAAGTCACAAATTGTGCCCACCCCAGTTATAATTTCATGTTCATGCCTTCCTGCTATGTGATTTTAGGAGCCACATAATTTCGAGTTCTGTCTACTGGGATCGTTTTCAGGGAGGTCATTTGACTGTTAGAAAACACCTGGAGAGTTGTTTCTTCGCAGAGCACTTGAGAATACAAACCCCAGGAAATAGTCAGTAGAAGATTTGCCAGACACGGAGCCGGTTGCGTTTCGTGTACTCTGTAATCTCTCATGTATTTTGTGTAGCTGTAGTTTCCTAGCAGTCGTTTCTTTGGATTTCGGTTTTGCTGGGTGCTTAAGCCACACTTAATTCTGTAGCAGTGCTTGTCACCAGTGTATCAAGCCTTTGTTCTCTTTTTCTTTGCCATTATGAAAACATCCTAATTTTTTCTGTGCCACTTAGAATTAACAAAATTCCTAAAGTAGCTAGCAGATTTGCTTCTGTTCACGACCCTGATTTTCTTCTCCTGTGTGTAGGTGCACTGATATCAACCCCCAGGCAGCCGCATGTACTCTGGAGACAGCACACTGTAACAGAGTCCACCTTCAGCCAATAATTACAGACTTGGTGAGCTTTAATCTCTGTTCAGTAGTAATCAATTTCATCTCGGTTAATTGAAGGTCGAAAGGTTTTGGTGCAAATAAACTTTAGTAATTAACTTTTTTTGTTTTTATGAGACAGGGTCTCATGTAGCCCAGGCTAGCTCAAACTTAACTGTATAGCCAAAGATGATCTTATACTCTTTTTTGAGTACAAGATTACATTTTAAAAAGTAGCAACGAGCTGGCCATAGTGGCTCACTCCTGGAATCCCCAGTAGTCAAGAGTGTAAGATGAATTTCAAGTTTAAGGCTAGCCTGGGCTACACAGTGTGACCTCTTTCTCAAAATCAAAACGGTAGAATTATTATTATTCATTTTTAGTTTTAGAATACAGTCTTTAAAATGCATCTGTGTATTTTCTTACATTGTTAGTGCACACCAAACACACTCTACCTTTTACAAACTCCGTGGGTGTCTGTCATTCTGAGTTATGTGATACTAAGGGCTGCTCAGCCATCTGCCACGTGAAGTACCTGGTAGTTCCCCTCTTCCTTTCTCTGGCTTCATGTTGCCCTGTTGAACTGTTATCTATTGGCAGAACATCCATTCTCCCTGCTCATGGGCTTTGTGTAAGAAAATCAGACAGTTTTGACTCACATTTAACCTAAGGGTCCTCCAAAAGGTGTCTCTACAGGAAATAAAGTCTGCGTGTTTTGCTGCATGCCTTTAACACTTGCTAGGGCCTCTTTCATTTATTCTTCAATTCTTGGAGATGTGAAAGCTGGAAACTGACTGGGCCTGGCTGCAGATGCCTGTACTAGTCCTTGGTTTTATTTAAATACATTTTAATTTCAAGAGTCTCTTGTTTTAGCTCCAGTTCAGCAGCTGTGCCTGAATCTACTGCTGTTTCAGCCAATGATTGCCACTCCGCAGTTACTGGCTCACTTCTCCGATAGATGCCAGTTTGGAGCCTCCTGCCCCTGCCACCAAGTGTAGTTTTAACTAAATCTCCAGTGTTCTTTTTATCAATAAGACTTGGGAGTCAGAGGCTGAGGTGAAAACCTGCTAGCTCAGAGAGGTTGAGGAGCAATTAGCTGACCTTCATTCTTTGTGTCTCAGAAAAAGGCTGTCCTGCTCTGCCACACTCAAAGTCCTGTGTATCTCTTTATCCATCTTCCAGATACTCTCTGACCCTCCCTACTACGTCCTTTGTGTCTCTATCCATCTTCCAGATACTCTGTGACCCTCCCTACTACGTCCTGTTGTGTCTCTCTATCCATCTTCCAGATACTCTCTGACTCTCTATGATTACTTTCTGTCAATTAGTTGCTAGCTCTGCTTCCTGACCCAAGGTTGATTTTATTTAATAAATGTAAACGCAAACTCAGGTTCACAGTGTGATCATATATCCTGCACACACATGCACACACACACTGAGTTATTCCCTCATTCTTGGACTGTTGGAGGAGCAGATGAATCATCTTTTGGTTTGCAACAAAATTGTATCCAAATTACTTAAAAGAATAGGCTATTGTTTCCCCCTATAAAGAGGAAAAAAGAATTACTTTGCAAGCACAACCTCAAAAAGAAGTCTTAGGAGTTACCTTTGAGTTTCAAGTTACCGGACTTATTAGGATAATTAAAACTGGATTGACTATAGAAATCTGGATCAAGGGGGCTGGAAAGATGGCTCAGTGGTTAAGAGCATTGCCTGCTCTTCCAAAGGTCCTGAGTTTAATTCCCGGCAACCACATGGTGGCTCACAACCACCTGTAATGAAATCTGGTGCCCTCTTCTGGCCTGCAGACACACACACACACACACACACACACACACACACACACACACAGAGAGAATATTGTATAAATAAATAAATAAATATCTTTAAAAAAAAGAAATCTGGATCAAGAAAGTCTCAGATATCACTTTGTAATATATGTTTAGTGTTCATAATCAGTCCAGTGTATGTCCAATGCTTAGATGGTGTGACTGGAAATGAGGTAGCTTTGAATCACACAAACACAAAATTGTGGGGGTTTTTCTTTTTTTCTTCTTGTTCCATGGACAGCTGAGCCATTAAAAAGTGTCAAATGCTGGCTGTTTGCAGTCTCTGACCATTTTGTTCAGTGCTCCCTGCTCTAATGTCCAAATCTGTCAGTCAAAATATTTACAAGTAAGTGAAGAAGCAAAAACAGTCCATCCTTGGTGTTTTGTGTCGTTCAGATACATTCTATGTTATCTTATAAAACATTACCCATGGGACATGGGGAGCCACCTTAGTTGGTACCATGTCTGCCTTACAAGGACCTAAGTGAGATCCCAGGACAGAATATAAAAAGCCAGGCATGGTGGCGTGTTGTCTGTACACCCTGCTAGTGCTAAATGGGAAGTGGAGACTGGTGGATTCCTGGAATCTTTCCAGCCAACCACCCTAGAACAGCAGTGAACTTCCAGGCCAGTCTCAAAAAGAAGGTGGAAAGTTCCTTAGGGAAGATACCAAGGTTGTCCTCTGACCTACACACACACGTGCTCGAGTGCATTTTTTTGTTTTGTTTTTTTGGGGTTTTTTTTTTTTTTTTTGCGACCAGGTTTCTCTGTAGCTATGGAGCCTGTCCTGGCACTAGCTCTTGTAGACCAGGCTGACCTTGAACTCACAGAGATCTGCCCACGTATGCCTCCCAAGTGCTGGGATTAAACCATTTCTTAGTTACAAGAGATCATTGTGTAAGGTAGCAGAGATGTTGTGAAGGTCTTTGTGGATCCACAGAGAATGTGTTTCACAGAATCGGGGCTCGCGGCATCCTCATGAACCCAGAATACGCACATACACACTGTTGATAGAAGCCGTATGTGGTATCTGCTCACTCTCCGCTTCACTCGTTTAGCTTAAGTTCATATAAACTGCACCTGCATGAGAACATTTCTGTCTGCAAGTACTGTCCCCCACTGAAAACAGGAGAGAGTATTTTTAAAGACTTATTATTTAAACCAGAATCCAGCTTCAACTGTATTGTTGCTGTCTTCAGGTCCAAGGCTTGCTGCCCAGATTAAAGGGGAAAGTTGATCTGCTGGTGTTTAACCCCCCCTATGTAGTGACTCCGCCTGAAGAGGTAAGGGCCACAGCAGAATGTGGTCAGTCTCCAGCTGCTCTGTGTGAGACAAGATGAACTTGGGCTGACTTCGGTCTCTGCTGCTAACAACACTCCTCTGACTACAGAAGTTCTCAGAGCAGACGCTGTAACCCAGAAGGAGAGGAATACTGATGGAAGGACAGAATGTCCTTCTAGTCCCATCTAGTCAGAATTCTCACCCAGGTCAGGCCATGATGTTGAAACTGATCCATTACCATAAATAACGAAGTTATAATGCAAATTTTAAAAATACTTCTAATCAACTATAAATTCCCCAATAATGTTCTTCTCAGAGTCTTGGGTTTCATCCCTTGGCATTATCAGAAATGAAAAGTGTGGGACCAATCCTGATCTTTTATAGGGAAAGAATAGAAGTACATCATGTATTTAAGAATCTCCATAGTAAGGAGTTAAGCCAGATCACCATTCCCCCAGAAGGTGAAGGCACATAGTTCAATAACAGATGAGCACTGGCTTCTCCTTAACTCTGCCTGATGTATTCTTTGGTGATTCTCTGGCAAAGCTGGTAAATACTACGCCCACTTCCATTGCAATTGCTCTGGCTGTGCTCATATGAACTGAGGCCCAGGAAGTAAGTCACAGTCAGAGGGAACAGCACTACAGTCTCGTATATTCTGTTCACTGCTTAATTAATACATGTATTTCTCGGTCTCGGGGTGTGTGGCTGTGGCCAAGGCCTTTCTGCTGTATTATGACAGAGACACCATACGCAGAGAAAGAGGAAACATTCCTAAACATGTGGCTCTCTTCTCCTTTTCAACATGGACTAATTAATCCCTCATGACCCCCTTACTCAACCCACCTCCAAATGCCGTCAGCACATCAATAGGGGATTACATTTCTTATATGAATTGGATGCTTAAGAAAAAGCTTGGAAATGGACCTTGTGATAACAATGATTCAGTCCAGCCCAGAGGTGGCAGTGAGCAGAAGACAGCTCTCTGTCCACATGTACACCCACACACAGACACACAACAAATCAGTAAATACAGTTGTTAAAAATGTTTCAGCCCTGAAGATCTAATTTTAAAATCACTCAATAGCTGGGTGTGGTGGTGCCTGCCTCAGGAGGCAGACTTCTGAGTTTCAGGTCGGCACGGGCTGTGTACAGTGAGACTGTTTCCACAAAACCACAAATCATTCCATTCAGGACAAAAACTAAAATGGGCAAAGGTTTATTACATTTATAATCTATTTAAGTAATGTCAACATGAGCCTGTGTGTGCAGAAGGATGGTTAATTCACGGTAATGGTCTCAGTGAAGAAACAATTCAGAGAATATGAGGACCCACTGGAGTCCCAGTGTATTCCCAGCTGGAGCAGTAAGCTAAGTGTATCTCCTGACCTGTACATCTGCTGAGACATAGCAATGCCCTGGGCACTTCTGCAATCCCAGTACATCTGGTGTCTTAATTCCCAGAGCTGAGTGATTAGATCGGGCGAAGCACAGGTCCAGCACAGGTCCAGCAAGGTGATGCAGCAAGTCCAGGGTGCCTGGCACCAAGACTAATGACCAGAGTTCTAACCCAGAACTCACATGGCAGGAGAAAACTGACTCCCAAAGGTTTTCCCATTACCATGAGTACACACAAACACACACTGATTTTTTTTTAAATTAAAAAAAACAAAAAACTAGTCTGGAAACTAAATGAAAACAATGATTTCAGGCCATAAATTATAAAGACAAAGTAAATGAAATCAGAGAGGTTGATAATAAACGACTTAGAGATGATATCCAGAAGACAACACAGTTAAGAGCTGATGCTTGAGCTCTGTGGCTAGACTCACTGCCACATTCAGAAACGTGAACTAAAGTGCTATACAGGGGTTATACCTATGGCCTCTGAGGAACCAAGAGTGGACACCCGGGCAGCAAGCAAACAGAAGGGAACACCTGCCTGCTCCTTTTGAAGTGGAATCCTCTCTTCTTTGGCCTCAGGGTTGGGATGGTGTCAGAAGTTCCTGAGGAGTCATCTCCTTCATTATAAGCAGATAAACGGGGCTTACTAGCCTGGAATCTTACCACAGGAAGCCCTACTACATTCTGGAGCAGAACTAGAGAGGCCAGATGGGGACTGGTCCAAACCATGACAACTGCTCAACAGCCAGTTCCCACAAAGCACTGGAGTAAACAGAGATGGGACTCCAGAACAGGAGTAGGCCCAGAAGAAAAGCAGAGGGCTCCAAAAGGAAAAATCTGGTGCTAAAGTGGAATTAATGGGTCTGAGGATAATCAGAATTAAGATTCAAAGAAAATTAATAGACACAGCAAATGTCAAAGACTACCTAAATAAGATATTCCTTCAGTAAGGTACTGTACCACCATAAACAACGAATTAGAACTATACCAGAGGAAATGAGAGGTCCTTGAGATGTTGTGAGTGACAGGGCTGTGGAGATAGGTACTGGATGAGATGCTTGTGAAATCGTCAGGGCCCAGGTTGATGTCCTCTGAGCCCATGTCAGAGCGTTGTGGGAGTGCACATTGATGGGAAGCTCACGAGGTGCTGGCCTGGTCCATGCAGCGATAAGCAGGAGAGAGCCTCATCTCCGACAAGGTGGAAGGCAAGGATTGTCTGACCTTCACACGCACACACACATGCTAACATAACATCACATGCACTAAAAGACGCAGGAAAGAATGTGGAACAGTCCTGCACTCTAAAACATAGTCACATGTTTAATTGAAAATTAAGTTCAGTGCTGACAACTTTTTTCCTATTTCTTGCTGTGGCCTTTACCCATATTTGATTTTAATTTTATATATAATCATGTTTTCTGTTTTTAGTCACTTAATATGGCATAGGTTTCCCAATTTAAAATAATTCCTTCATAATCATACACATAAATTTTACAATGGTTTCTTCATAATAAATATACTTCTGGTCCTGACTGAGCCCGGAGCCGCATGCAATCCTGTCCCTTGGGTTTTTGAGGCAGGGTGTCACCATGTAGCTCAGGTCAGCCTTGAAATTGCCATCTTCTCACTCGTGTTCCTAAGCATGGAGACTGCAGTGTGCCCAGCACACCCAGCGTGCTGTTTTAGTTGTTGGCATGAGGATTTCAGGAGTTTGGCAGAGTAACATTCAGAAGCCAAGGTACACTCATTTGGAATGCATTTGTTTGGTGATGTTTAATGTCAAAAGGATTGTAATCTCAAACTTGAATCAAGTCTCTCTGATTGGTGACAGGTAGGAAGTCACGGAATAGAAGCAGCTTGGGCTGGTGGCAGAAATGGCCGGGAAGTCATGGACAGATTCCTCCCGCTGGCTTCAGAACTCCTCTCCCCCAGAGGGCTGTTCTACTTAGTTACCATAAAAGAAAACAATCCAGGTAATAAGAAACAGCTTCGTGTTACTGTCTACTTTTCTGACGACAGTTCAGTGTAGAAAACTAAAATTTATAAAGTAGCCTGAGCTGTTGACAACAACAGCTTAGCTAGCCAGAAGTTCACGTTGAAAGACTTTAAGAGGATAAATGTTTATGTGTTAAAAACTATTGTCTTAATCCCAGCACTCTGGAGGCAGAGGCAGGTGATCTCTGTGAGGCCAGCCTGGTCTATAGAATGAGTCCCAGGACATCTCTGTGAGGCTAGTCTGGTCTACAGAACAAGTTCCAGGATAGGCTTCTAAGCTATAGAGAAATCCTGTCTCGAAAAACATCAACTATTGTCTTCTTAGGACAGGCAGTTTTCCCTCATTCATAAACTAATATTCAGATATCATTTGGCCCCCAGTGTGGGCTCCTTCTCATGGGGCAGTAACAGAAAAGGAGGGTTACTCCCACATGTGCTCCGTGGGAGCCCTTGCAGGCAGGTCAGTGTTGTCGGTCACAGGCTCACAGCTGGATGAGACTTTACCCCAGCAGAGTGTAGATCTTCCAGACACTAAACACTAGCTGGTAGAGATGAAGTTTCCAGTCGAGTACCAGTTAGGCTTCAGCAATATGGTCTGAACCCTCAAGACTGTAGGGTGAACTAGCTTTGGCAATGGCCTGTAATGTTTGGCGGGGGTGGTCTATGGATCCTTGGGCCAAATGATAAAGACATAACCCATTTATTGTATGTGAAGGGGTTATTTGGAACTATTTTCTTAGTTCAGTCTTTTCTTAGTTCAATTTTTCTTAGAACACCAGAAGAAAGGATTGGATCCCTTGGAACAATAGTTATACATGGTTGTAAACTATCATGTGAGTGCTGAGACTTGAACCCAGGTCTTCTGAAAGAGCCGTAAGTGCTCTTAACCACAGAGCCATCTTTCCAGCCCTAGGTTTTATTTCCAAAAGAAGTAAACTTGTTTACTTTCTCTGGGCAATGTCAGGATTCAGTTTGTTCATATTCTCATTGACCTTTCCAGAAAGGATATATGGCAGAGATTGGCACCAACCAGCTAAAAATGTGATCACTTGCTCTAACAAGGTTAACTAATGATCTTGTGTAATCTGAAGTAGGCCACCACTACACACTGGCCCTAATCAGAATCCTCAGAACATCTTAATATGTGTCCCACTTCTCTGAAGTCCAAGCTTGAATTAACAAACATTATTTGGTATACATTGTTTAATCAGAGGAATTTAATGCTTATCATCTAATTAAATTAATCAGGAGTCATGCATATCACCAAATGATTAGATTGAATTTTACCTTTTGGTTTTATTGTTTTTTTGTTTTTTCATTTTAGAAGAAATTTTTAAAACACTGAAGACAAAAGGTCTGCAAGGGACCACAGCACTTTGCAGGCAAGCAGGCCAAGAAATCCTGTCAGTCCTCAGGTTCAGCAAGTCCTAGTGTCCTGAGAACCACCAGATGCCCGAGAACTGCCTGAAACGGAATGCACTCAGCTGGTTCGAGACGGACGTCATTCCCTGGCCAAGAAAGTTTATCAGAAATGTGTCATAAAGAAAAAGATGGAGTTAGGGTGGTCATGACACATACCTTTAATCTGAACACTCAGGAGAGTTCAAGGCCAGCCTGGTCTACAGAGCGAGTTCCAGGACAGTCAGGACTGTTACACAGAGAAATCCTGTCTCAGGAGGGGCAAAGAAAGAAAAGGTGAGAGCTGGATAAATGGCTAAAAGGTTAAGAGCACTGGCTGCTAGTGCAGAGGATTGGGGTCCAATTTTCAGCACCCACATGGTGGCTCACAGCCACCCATAACTCCAGTTTCAAGGGCTCCTGGCCTTTTCTGATCTTCAGGGTACCAGGCACACATGTGGTATTACATACATAATGCAAAACACGCAAAGAAAACAAAGCTGAAAAATAGAAACAGTTAAGCTCGGGCATTTTGTTTTCAGGGACTCAAGTATGTGGCTATTTCTGTACGCTTGCAAGCAAATGTGTATATTCTATTTATAATTTATATTTTGTTATATTTATATATGAAAGAATGTTTGATTTAGCATTAGCTAATAGCAAAGTAATATAACCACCCTAAAAGTCCATCAGAAAGGGCACTGGTTAAAATAAATCTCAGCTATCCATTCCACTGAACATACAGCCATGAAACGAGTCACTGTGTAGACCTGAACCAGATGGCAGCTGGCTACAACGGAGTGCAAAGAGGAAGCTGCAGATGAATTTCATCCTGTATATACTGTTCTGAGAACACTTCCGAAGCAGTGTATCGATGTGTGTGCATGACAAAGGCTTGGGGTAAACTGCAGGAATAAAGGAACGTTCACTCTTTATGGTGGCATTGTCCAGTCCTGTATATATAATTTAAAAAGTAAGCATGAAATTGGGAGATGAGGAGGGTGAGGGGTGATTATGATTAGTATACACTGTATACATGCATGATTTTCAAATAATAAAAATTATAGTAATAATCCCCAGTTCATGATAGAGTAACTAGGGCCAGGATAACGTGGTGATCAATATTCTCTATTCATAAGATACAGTATCGACCAAGAGCTATCACTTAAAGCAAGAGCAGTTGTGATATTAGCAGGGTCTTACTCCAGAATCCAAAAGGCCTACAACTGCAGTTTACCATAGGGGCCGCCAGAGGCCCTGTATGGAGTCCCTGCCTTTCCTTACAGCCTCAAACACCACTGGATTTGCAGGTTGTTGGTGAGACCTCTCAGGTATAAAGGAACACTTGTTCCCAACCTGTGGTCTTGTTGCCCATGTGCCACATTTGGGGAGTGGACAATTAGGTGAAAACCTGTTAGCTCTAGCAAGCTGCTAAATGGATGCTCCTTGACCGTGCCAGCAAACTCTCAGCTACAATTTCACAAGAGCAGCACACATCACCATAGCACAGCAGTTAGTATCAACACTGGCATGTCTTCATCCATTTGTCTGTGTCCCAAACCCCGTGGGGGCGGGGACAGCAGTGTGGGCCCAGCCTGAAGCATACCAAATGTCTGCGGTGTTAGAGGACAGGAACTCTGGAGGCCCTGGCATGTCTTCTGTTGCTGTGCATTATGTTCACCAGACTGCTATGGAGAGAAGCTGATGTTGAGAAGGAATGAAATGGGATAGTGTAGTAACACACGAAAATGCCATAGTGAAGCCCATTACTTCATGTGCTAATTCAGTGAAACTAAGTTGTCTCTTATCCCAAATAACCTACTGAATCTGGGTGTCAAAGACACAAATTACAGAATGCCTTGGTGTTACTCAAAGGAGCCCTTATTCTTAAAGTTCACAGTAAATAAGTCAAAGCTACCAAAGACAGATGAGCACCCTTAATAAGACCTTTTATAAGGGATATCTGGAAAACGGAAAGACAAATTTATACAGACACTGAAAGATTCCATCACAGATACATAACATTTCTTTTTATCTCTAATTTGGAGCAGAAAATTAAAAAAAAAAAAAAAACAGTTGGGTTATAAGACCCATAAGGTAAAATTTGGTGAGGGCAAAAGAGCCGCCTGTGAGTAACCAAACTTTCAGTGCTGTGATGACTGTTGCCGACTGGAGCTAACACCACAGTGGATGGGCACATCTGGGAGGGGCTTCTCTTAACTAAACCACTTTAAATCTGGATCTTTTGAGATGAGAAAATCTGCCTTTAATCTGGGCCATGCCTTCTGCTGGCAGCCTATATAAAGGACACGGAGGAAGGAAGCTTTTATTCTTTGCCTGCTTGCTCTTGCTGGCAAGTCCATTCCTTCACTAGCATTAGGGCCTACCGTTGGTAGACAGCCATTGTTGGACCACAGTCTGTAAGCCATTCTAATATACACATTCATTTCTATGTTGTGTTCCTCTAGGGACCCTAACTAGTAAAAACGTTAAAAAAAATTTAGCTGAATCAAAATGGAAAGAAATGACAATTTAATTAAGTGGAAAAATTTTAATAAAATGTAAATAAATGTAAAATTAATACCATGTTGAAGACAAGCTTGACTAGATAGTAAAGCATCATGTGACCAGCTTAAAAATACAAGTAACCTATTAGAAATATAAATTGTGAATATGTTTGTAAAATAATGACCAGCAAGCAAGAATGAATGTAAGTAGGTCTCTCCATAGTTAGGAAAATATGAATCATAATGAAGATGATGGGAGATGTAGCACAGTTATACAATGCTTGCTAGCTCGCATTCTCCAACTAGAAGCCGGACAATTTCATTAAGACTAAGCGTGAGTGACAAGTACAAACCAGAAGACTTACTGTCCTGTGAGACCGGCCAACATGTAGCCAAGATAAAGAGCAACGTGACACCACATAAACCAACGGCTCGCACTTCCTGTCACCTGGAGTTCACCGTAGCTCACACCTCCAGAGCACCTACCACATTTGCTGAGAAAGACGATAAAGAGCACATCCTACAGCATTGGCTCAGGAAGCAGAAATTGCCAAAATAGCTCCTGGGAGGACTGGCAGGTGTGATGCTAAATAGCTGTCAGGTGAAGAAGCATGATGCAGAAGATGACACAGCAGGAAAGGACCTGAAGCTTAAAGCAAAAAAAAAAAAAAAAAAAGCTACAAATCATATATGGATACAAGCAGAGCAGAAAGTATGAACCCTCCAACAGGAAGGAAGTGTACAAACTTCAGAACAGTAAAATGTCTCTGAGGAAGGAAGAAGAATAGGTTAGAGAATACAAGAGAAACATTTTATTTCTTTAAAAAGAAGAATCAAATATGGCAAAATAGTATGGGAAGAGTACAAGGATTTATATTAATTACTATTTTCTGTATATTTGAACTATTTTGTAATTTGAAAGAATTTAATAAGATAATAATCAAATAACAATTATTCACACCATAAAAATTTGCCATGTGTTAACATTTAAACTACAGAAATGTATATACATGAGAAAAATAACAATTAAAAATAAATTATAAAAATTGCTATTTAGTTTGGGGTTTTAAGTAAATTTGTAGTGGGGCTTTGATACTTAGGCAATTTTAAGATCTTGTCATGCTAAAACTTTGAAGGCTGTGTCCGGTCTGTGAGTGTCATCACAGCTAAAGGAGTGAAACCTGAGTGCGGAAACCTGGGTTTCAGTCTCGCTTCTGAGAAGCTTCCTTTAGTGTGGGGCAGTGCTGAGCTGACAGCTCTCCACACAGACCGTACAGGATGTATTCAGAGTACCGAGAATGAAGAGTTCCTCCCACCTAACCTGCTGCCCTGTCTCTCTTCTACTTGAACTTTGGGTCAGAAGTCAAGAAGAACCAATACTGGAAGGGTTATAAAGAAAATTTTATTGTAAAGCCACCTTAAAAAGAATGATTTTCACAGGGCTGTTACACAATCCTTGAGATTCTTGTGTCGGAGGCAGACGTAGAAAGGTAAGAGAATGTTTGAAGGGTTAGGAAGAGGTAGTAGATTTTGATATCTACACTTCACTCCGTCTCCGAACCTCAAGACTGTAAGATGATAAATACTATACAGAAAAAAATCAGGAGACAGACAACCCAATTCTTCATCTGTAGCCCACAGTTCTCACTCTGGACTGCAATCCTGACCAAATTCATACTATTTCAATAACAGTCATGTTGACCAATTGATGGTAAGCAGTGATTTTATTTGACACGAGTTGCACCCTTCTAATTAAACATTTGCAGAGATGAACTGACCTTTTACGTGTCCTAACTACTGGATACGAAATGGAAGACTGTGATAAAATTAGTCTAAGATCTGAACTTCTATACCTCATACTTTGGATGCAGGTTTTAAAGGCAATGGTGCTGTAGCCAAGGCAGTTTTTACTTGTTTACACACTTCAATCCACTAAGACTTCATTTCATCAGGCTTGGCGGCACTCACCTTTAATCCCAGAGTTTGGGGGGCAGAGGCAGGCAGATCTCTGAGTTCCAGGCCTGCCCAGAGCTACATAGTGAACTCCTGTCTCAAAACAAAACAAAAAAACTAAAGACTTAATTTTATTTAGTACTAATTCCTTCCTTTCTTATGGTTTTAAATAATTAGTCCCCAAATTCCTGATTTGGTGTAATGATGGCCAGTAAGGAGAGTGAAATTTGCTACAAAATTTAAAGACTCCTTCAGTATTTTGAAATACTGGTTTTTGCAGATGCCATGCTTTAGAAAGCATACTTATCTGTTTCTTTCTTGATATTCAGCTACCATTTTACTTCACAAATAATCAAATGCTGCTTACCTCAAATTCCTACTCTCTGGAGACTTACTAAACTAACAGCTCCACTCACAAATTTACAATTCAAATCTCATTAACATACGGAAATAATTCTTTCACAAACAAAAGGTCAATGTCATGGATATAATTTATAAATTTCATAATTCTTGACAGAGCCCCTTAGAGTTCAGTTCATTCTTCCGTGTGAGATTTCAGAGCATTCTTCAAACAGCTCTGGATATGGATGTAAACAGCTTAGTGTCACTTTATCATTAAAATAAGTATGAAAATCAGAGTAATTTTTAATTTTCTCCATCATCACTAACAAACAAACTTAAGTTTTATCTATGGATGTAAAACAGCTCTCAATTCCTTTACACTTGGACTGTTCTACAACACAGACCAACAAACTTGATGATTTATAAGTTATAATATAGCTAATGCTTTCACAAATTTCAGTTC